ACAGGGCAATGCCAACGTTTAATTTTATGAAATACATTACAGACACATGCAACCTGTTTTGTTGTCCCACCTGTTGTAGACAAGATAGACAAATGACAGATAGACTACAGGGCAATGCCAACGTTTAATTTTAAGAAATACATTACAGACACGTGCAACCTGTTATGTTGTCCCACCTGTTGTGTTAAATAAAGATAGACAAATGATATGCATGAAGAAGACGTTGCATCAGCCCGGCTAGCTCAGTCGGTAGAGCATGAGACTCTTAATCTCAGGGTCGTGGGTTCGAGCCCCACGTTGGGCGAATACTTTTGGTAGCTCATGTTTAAGATTGTCACATACCATCACTTAGCTTTGTGAACGCTGCTTTTTTGATTGTTCCTGTGTGCAGTACTATTTATTTATTAATTGTGATTTTTCCCCCTTTTCTTAACATACAGTCGATGTTATTAAATCCACTCATTTAATCTAAATATCCGCTAAACAACAGATTAAACATTTTCCTTTAAACCCACTTAAGTTATTATCAGAACTTTGATTATTGATTTATTGCTGCTATTTCCGGCAACCATGAGCCGGTGTATTTATGGTAATAGTGTGAGACGGTTATACGGCAGTTTGACGTTTACAACCAAAAAATTAGTAAAAAAAAAATCGATTTTACAATGGCCTTTATTGTCTTTCTGACTTTTTCTTCTTTGTCTGATTTAAAGAGAAATTCATAATAAAAAAAAACCAACACATTTCTAGCTTCTTTAACCTTTTTTTCTACAAGGAATACAATGACTATAAATTGAATGAAACCTGCACAAATAAACTCTGTGACCACCTTGGTTGTCACCGTGAGGACCACCTTCATACTAGAGACTACTGTTAGCGACATTATACTACACGAAGCAGATCTTAAGGACTGTGATTTATCCCTGTCTAAGGGGTGTTACGCATGCGCTTTTAGTGTTCACTAGAACACATGCGTTTTGCTCAGAGCTGCGTCAAATCGCCGGGATCACTAAAGGGAGAAGCGGATGTAGAGTAGGATTCCCTCCAGAATAAAGGTTACCTCGCAAGTAGTAGTTTATATTACGTACAACTAAAAAGTAAGAATAGACCCAATCAACTCTGGCTTATTTTATATCTTCAAAAAACAGTGCACAGGGAACAGCCATAACATGGCAACAATTTACATGTAAGCGGAGAGAACGTGTGGTCTATTTTATTGTGGGACACTGTGTTAACCACAGACCCACTGTGTGAACAGATCAAACGTATTATTGTCATAGATAACAACACGTAATTGTGACAGCATTTTAGGAGTCCTTAACGAAGGGTAGCGTTGAAGTTTTATTTTGACACTCTCCCCGGAAATTAACCGCAGACTCTCGCTAACTCTACGCCGCTCTCAGCCACTCCGCTGCTTCGGAACCGTTCGTTAAGCATCAGAGCTGATCCTCCTCCTGCGTGTATGCGAGAGAGTGTATGTGTGTGTGGAAGGCGTGCAGCAGCGGGCTCTGTGTTGTGTTTGTCACACATTCACCGCCTGCGTTTCATAGACACGTTGCAGGACAAGGAGCTGCACAGTGCAGAGCCAGCATGGGTTAGAAGGAGACGGCAACCCATGGCTTGTCCACTCTGCACACTTGATCGAGGATGATGGGGACAAAAATGGACTTGTTTTCACAGAGACATCCTGACAAAGACGGAGACTGAGGGGGAGCAGAGACCGGGATCCGCTGTTTCTTTCTCTCTGTCTCCCTCCGCGTCTACTTCTGTCCCCCTTTCCATTTTGTTTTCTTCTTGTTTTTTTTTCTTCTTTTTTTTTTAATTTTTCCTATTTTTTGTTTGTACTCTCCGGCTGTGAGCGACACAGAGATGTTTGCTGAACTGCTTTGCGGCGCCGTGGCTCTGGTCCTGTATGTCAACACTCTGGGCGCAGATTTCTGCTACGATGACAGGTACTTGGGTGAATGAGTGACATCTAGCTCTGGGTTATCTTCTCAGCAGCACAGCAGTGATGCCTGGCTTCAGTCACTGTGCCGCTCCAACTCTGAATGAGCTGCATCTCACAGCACCGGTCACATCGGTGTTTACTCATGTGAGCTGCAGCTCTATCATTAACACAACACACGTGCGCAGGCAGACACCAATTATCAATTAACCTCGCGCCCTACTTAACACACTCGGTGAAATTAGTGACAACATCAGTGTTCGACTATAGTAGTCGTTCATGTCTTTAGGTCTGGTCTGACTGAAGTCCTGACTAGTGCTGAGAAAATAATTAACCTCTGGAGAGAATAGAATAGAATAGAATAGCCTTTATTGTCCTTGTACAGTGTACAACGAGATTTGAGCGCTACTCACTTGGTGCAAAAAAAGAGTAGAAGACGACAGTATATACAAACATATAACAACATATCTTTGGTGTAGTTAGTTATTGCACATAGTTGTATGTTTATTGCACTGCAGAGAAAGACATGCGGCGATTTCCCTTGTGAACAAAGTGAGTCCCTGTGGCAAAGTAATCCAGTTTCAGGGCCAGTGCCAAAACTTTGATTTAGGTTTTGCTTTAAACTTTATTTACTTTAAAAATAAGTTTCCATTTTCCACTATAACCCAGTGGGACCCTGTTCAGCTACTGATGCATTACTCACTACAATACACAGTAGCTGGCATTTTTAAGAAGTGATGGCTGAACGGTTGTCAGTGCCATGTGCACTTGCTTCCTTGCTTCCTAGATGTAGGTCAGAGCAGCATCATTATATCCCTGCCATCACTGAGTCATCTTACTATAAATAGAAAAAAAAACATGTTGATAAATTGTGAGCTCATACATAGTCACAAATATTGACTGTGGAATCTCAAAATAAATATATAGTATCCAGAGTCCTTCCAGTACAGCGTATATCTAAAACAGCTGTTTTAGTGCTAGTGTTTAAACAAATCCAGATGATGTGGCGTTGTGCACAAACAGCACATTGACATCCTCCACATCAGGACCCTCGTGCTGTTTCTTTACAACTCCTCTGACTGGTCTGGTTGGATGACAGTTACTGTACAACAGTAACAGTTTTTAAAAAAAAAAACATTTTAAAACCTCTCTGCAGTTGAACCTTACACAGAGTAAGGGTGATTCAGATACTGCTCTGCAGAAAATATGCTATTATGCTAGTATTTTAACCATAAACCTGTCAAGGAGTGGCAGCACTGTGGAGAGGTGGCTGCTGCTCCTGCTGCTGCAGAGTCAGCTGAGTGTGCAGCGCTGCTGGAGGAGCGCCCCTTGAGTCCAAGTTCCATTCTTAGGGAGCGAGCCAAAGTCTTGATTATTCTGTGTGGAGATGTTAACATAATGTTATTTACACTGAAGTCGTTCTGTTCCAGGTTAGTACCGGATTCTTAGGCAACAGATGAATGACAGGCGTAGATTTAGAGGAAAGGCTTGCATGTTTTCTAGCCGTATATATCTGGTATCCAGCATTTTGTCTTTTTAAACAATGCCTTTGGTTCATATTTGCAATCAACAGCTGCCTCCTGATCCTAAGGGCTGCATCCAAGGATAGGAAGGAGACTGACGAGGGGGCAAGTTCAAATGGAATATGTGTCTAAGTGAGTCAGTCCTGGACACTGAGACTAATTAAGTTGTTAATGGAGTGCTTGTGTAGAAAACAAGCTCGTGGGAGTCGTAAAGCTGTTGTCATAACAGGAAATATTGAGTACGCAAGTGAATAAATCAGCTGACACGATCCAGGACCCTGCAGCATGTGGACTGGATTTAATTAAAGGAAATTACAGTAATATATAAATCCTCCAGTAATGTTTTTGAACATATATAGTATATCAGACATTTAATTTCCTATTCATTTAAAATTAAGGAGAACTAGCCCTGACTTTGGTTGAATGCTCATTAATTGTAGCTGAAAAAGGCTGAGATTCTGGAAAATTTCTTACAGAGCAAAGCTTTTTTTTGTACTTCTGTCTGATTCCCTTCACCTGCAAGACTAATAATGTATAAATAAAAGATACAGTTTGTGTGAATTCCCTAAAAAAGATTAAATACGTTTAATTAGAAAACTAGGTGCATGGTGCCAGGACCATATACTGTACTGTTCAGTGTTGCTACTCTTCCACTGTTTTTTTCACTCTAGCCTTTTCTCTGTTTTTTTTTTTTTTTTTTTGCAAGTGGCTCAGTTGTTCCTGGATGGAAATGTTTCTCTCTTCTTGGTTGGTGTCAGCGCCTCTTAAAACTGAATGCAGCAGAATCAGAGTTAAGGGGTAGGAGCAGGATTAGCTCCTTAAATGGACTCCCTGTTGTATCCTAACTCTAAATCAGTTTTTTATGTTACCTAATACTAATATTGCATAATAATTTAAGGCAAGAATGTAGTTAAAAAGTTTAAATTTGAGCAGATGAGTGGATGTTCACTACATTAGCAGTGTAATGATGGTTGCTCATATATTTTGTGGGTGAGTCTTAATCTTTAAATGTGAATGTATAAACATAAATCCATGTACGTATACAGAGATTCATGTGCTCACATGCATCACATGCTTGTCTTGTGTTTCTTTGTGTTTGTGTTTGGGCACTGGTTACACATTAGTCTAATCAAACATTACACAGTAACACACCTTGTCCTGACCAGGGCCAAAAAGAGGTCACAGTTGAAGGGAAGAGTTAACACTGCTGTAAGTAATTGTGTTCCAAGCATGAAAAAGGAAAAAAAAAATCCCATGCGAGGCAATTTTCTGACCACACAGTTTGTCATGGTCTTTTCTTCGATAAAAATGACAGGCTGGACAAGTGGCTGCTTCACCATGCCAAATCACCCCAGGGAGCTTCCCTCTATCTCCCGTGAAAACACTCATCATTAGCACATACACAACTGTTGACACCTGCTCTGGAAAATAAAAATCATTGATCATACAGTTCATATCTGTGCTGCTGTAATGCACAGATGGAGCAAAGTGAAGGTTCACTGAAGCGCAGATAAATGTCAGAGGAGAAATACTGCCGCAATATTCTGCAACCTGTGCCACACTGTTGTGTTGCAGGGACTTGGAAAAAAAAGTTACAGTGTGTCAGACTTCTTTGAGAGTTGTAAATGAAAACAAGGGCGGCATCAACGGAGTCTGAAAGTCAATCCACATTTTCCCTTTTAAGTTGAAAGCAGTTTGGCCAGTTGTCAAGCTTTTGAGTAGTTCTTTTATTGCACACCAGTTCCAAGGTTACTGTTTCCTGTCTGAAGGCTGATGGATGTGATGAACTGCAGCCACCTTTCTGTCTCCACCCTCAGTCAGTGTCATAAGGTCTGACTGTTAGGAAGTGTGTGCAGGTCACGCAGAAGGACGCAGCCTTCCTGGGCAGCGGAGATGATTTATAATGCTCAGACACTTGGTGAGGGCAAACCACCGGATTGCTACATGAAATCTTTATTAATGAATAAGTCAGGAAGTGGAAAGGGGCCAAACCTCTTCTTTAACTGATGCGGTTTTGCAGCAAGGTTTTACTCAATGACAGCAAAGAGGCCACACAGGGCGGGTGACTCATGTTTAATGACCATCCCACCCAGAATATAGAAACATATTCATTTTTACCTTGTCTTATCTTACTTTTTCAATTCAAAATTTAAAAAAAAAGGTGAAAGATTTTTTTTACACACTTGTTGAAAAGGTGAAAGATTTTTTTTACACACTTTGTGTAAATGACTTTGTTCAAATGGTTAAAAAGTTTGTGTATAGTTTTTATAGATCCGCGGTGAGCAGTTTAAAGGGTGTTTCTGCTGAGGTGGAAACGAGACTATGGTGGCGTAGAAGGACAGACATAGATTCTGTCTGTGCCCCCAGCTGCCTCTTTCATGGCTCCATGTGTCATTGCACTGATCTGAAACCCTACTCTCATGGCCTGTGGGATAAGATGGACTGGTTAGCGGTGTGGTTATGTTGAGGGCCCAAGGGCGGCAACCCAGTAGTCTGAGTATCTCCACTTTTCCCCAGTCAGGGTTTCTTCTTCTGCGCCCTGTAATTATCATCCTTCCTACAAAAAGAGGACTCACGACATGGTTTGGTGGACATAACTGCTCCACTGTCTCATTCGTCTCTCCCAATATCTTTTTCTATGTCTCCCTTTTCCTACCCCCCAAGGCCCTTTGGGTCACCAGCTTACCATCAGCCAACGACTGCCTCCAGATGGTCTCGTTTGGTAAGCAGTTTAGGGTTTTTATCCTTCCTGCAGTTTGAAGTGGATTCAAGTAGGAGTTCCTACGTTGTCAAAATTGTGATGGAGACATCAAAGTTTAATATGACACAGTCAGTGAAGATTGCTTCAAGACTTTTGTTTATATATTGGTCTCAATTTCATACCAGTTGTAACCAAACCTTTATCATACCTTTACCATAATTGTAGATTAAATGGCTGTGTCGGCAGTGAAAGTGATAATTTACTGTGAACTGAACCAAATAATCATCCAAGTATGCAGCTTGTTTTATGTCATCTGTGATTAAACTGTCTTTCCTTTAACTTCTATGTTTATCATTAGTCTAAGACATCAGATTATATCTTGGATGAAGTTGTTACCACTGATGGCCACTAAAACCATTTTGTAATCAGGAGTGTCCAAAAATTCACAGATGAGTGTTTGCTTTCTGATTTTGATGACAGTGTGAACCCAGAACCTTTTTGCAGCATATCCAGGATCTATCCTGCCGTTTATTTAGTGTCCGCTGAGAATGGTTTCAGCTCCATTTTTGGACTTTCACCAGGTGAAGAGAATTTGCTTAATTAACAAATGAACACAATTGTCAAAATGAGGCAATACACAGTACCAGAGTATGAGATTTAAAACTGCAGCAGCTAAATTAAACACACATTTTAATAAATTATGAATTAATGAATTATTAATACAATTAATCAAAAGTTTATATTCAACAAGGTATTTGCGTGAGGTTCAAAATAACTCTTAAA